TCCAAATGAAAAGAGAAACTAAGTCCATTTAAGAGAACAGCAATCGCTGAGAAAATGTCTATCCTAACCAAAGAAGTGAAGACTGGCTGAAGCCAGCTGAGCTCCAAGAAGCCCTGAGATCCTTACCCTGCCAAAGAGGTGTTTGTGCCTGTGGCCAGTCATGCCTTTAGCAAACAAACACACCCCCTCCCACCCCGTGTGTGCACCCCAGCCCTTCCGCAGTCTTACCCACTGCTCTGCAGAAGAAGCAGAACCTGTTTCTTCAGGGGAGATCTCAGCAGGACTGGGCTCAGCCATCACTTCCAGCTGCCAGGGTGCCCAGCAGCCTCGGGTTGGCCAGTTCCTGGAATAGAACAAGTTTCCCGTAAGGCTCTGCCCAGCCTGAGAAAACACCACTTGGGGATGGGGTCAGGAAACATCCCAACAGAAGCAGCATGTTCTGGCCTGGCTGGATCAAACAGACCAGTCCAAGATCTTAATTTTTATTTTATTTCCTTGAAATCTGACAAGGTTTCCTTTTATCTGACAAGAAAAGCAAAGGCTGAAGATACAGGCTGGAAACTTTGCAAAATGTTTTTCAGCATCATCATATGGAAGCCTGGGGGGTTTCACTCTTTAGGAATAAAATCCTGCCTGGAAGTGCTGGGATTTCCCAGAGCACAGAGTAGCCAGGTTTTCACCAGCCCTAAGAAAACTCAGGGGAAAAAATAAAATTGTGAGGGCAGCCTCACTGTCTCAGTCTTGCTCTTATCTTCATATTTCAGTTGGGGGAGTTGGCAAAGGAAAACGGTGACGTGTTCTGCTGGGATCAGAGATGAAAGAGAAAGTAAAGGTGCAGGATGTGACTGCCCTGTCGGTGGGTCCTCCTGGGACCTGGCTCCGGGAAGCCCCCAGCCAGCCTGGCAGGTCACACTCCACTCTCAGCATCAGCAAGACCCCAGGGGTTGGGTTCACTCCTGAAGCACAAAGAGACCACATCTAGGAAGGAGCCCTTGCTCTTCATGGCAGGTTTGCTCCCAGCTGGGTGCCTGGTGCCTCCCCACAACCACACACACAGGTGAGATTTACCACCAGATGTTTGTACACAAAACCACCCAGCAGCAGCTTCCCAGTCCATCCTCCTCGCGGGGAGTGGTCAGTGATTCACACCCAGTTCTAAGGTGGTCACAGCTCTGTCTGTGCCGTGTGTGCTCAGGGGAGGGGCCTTCACCCGGGCAGGGGCCTTTTTGACCTGGTGATGTCAATATTATAGTGACATGATAACGAGCTACGTTCACCTAAAGAACACAGCAGCACAAGCCCTACAGCTCCAGCTGCCCCAGGCTGGTTCAGCCCCCAACCTTCCAGCTTTGGGCTCTTTTCTCTCACCTCCTGCATCCCTCAGGCCCAGGTACCCGCACAGACCTCGTCTCTTCTGCCAAGGGGGTGATTCAGATCAGAAACCCTCAAAACCTTGATGATTTGCTTCCTCCAAGGCCTGATTATTGTAGGGTGTCCTTTGCTGGGCACTAACTGTGCCTCTCTGCACTTGTACCTGGTGCAGGGAGGGATGCAGAGCACACCTGTGTGAGAAACAACCACATTGTTCTGCATTTCCGAGGTGTTTTCCCCAGCGGGGCTGCAGGAATGAGCTGGGGGGGGGTCCCTGCTGCTCCCCAGAGCCCTCCAGACCTGGGCTCACCCACCGGGCAGGTGAGCTCGTCCCCCCGAGCAGCAAATCCCTTCTGTCCCGCTGTCCTTGGCTGCTGCCATGAGAGGGCTGGCCG